TTTCAGATTAATCTGAAAGTTCAGTTCAATTATATGAGAAACTCTTAGAGGATCGCAAAATTTGTAAATTCTCTAAGAGGATCGCAAAAATTTAGCGAAACTCTTAGAGAATCGCAATTTTTTGTAGTTTTTCTTTGAATTTCACAAAAAAATTGCGAAAATCTTGGAGAATCGCAATTTTTTGTGATTTCTCTTAGAATTTCGCAAAATTATTACAAAACTTTGGAAAGTCGCAAAAAATTGCGATTTCTCTTCAAATTTCGCAAAAAATATTGCGAAATTCTTAGAGAGTCACAAAAAATTGTGATTTCTCTTTGAATTTTACGAACCTTAAAAAGAAATTCACGATTTTTTGCAATTTTCTTAGAGTTTCGCATATAAATTGCAGATTTCTTATATAATTGAACTGTAATTTTAGATTAATCTGAAAATTTCAATTCAGTTCAGATTTTTACCAGTTTGCGATTCAGTTCAGATTCAGATTGACATTTTTAAGATTAATAATCTGAACTGAATTGAACTAAAATTTTCAGTTCAGATACAGATTGGCATCTAATCTGGACTGAACTGAACTATTCGAAGCTTTAATTTCCTATTTGAATATGCTATTTGAGGACTCTATTTCTTTTTTCATACATTCTATTGTATATTTTTTTGAACTAAGATCCTCATTCGTTCACTCTAATTCAAATCTGAGAAAATCAATCTCTTTAGGATCAGATGAATTTATTTGGGTTGGCTCTTCTACCACTCCTCCTATTGCATTTAAATCATGAAACATCTATTCTAGTTCTGAGTCATTCAACTTACCTTTTAATTCACGTACTTTAGCTTCAAGAAAAAGAATCTTGATTTTATCAGTGAACAAAGCTTTTTAGGCCAAAGTTACCTCTCTCTTTAGTGTTTTAATATTTAATTAAGTGATTTGATTTCAGCAGTATATTTGGCTTCAAGCTTACGTTGACTCTCAAAATGAGACTTCCATTTAGAAATAAGTTGGGATCTAACTTTAGTGCTGAACGCATTTAACTGGCTAATCTTATTTCTAATATCAGCATAGGTTCGCTAAAACTCCTTTTCTCTGAATTTTCAGCCTGTAATTTTTTGTTGAAATCAATAATTTCAGAGTTAAAATCGATAGCAGTTCTTAATTTTTTTTGAGCTCTTGCTCATATGTACTATCCAGCCGATGTTCTCTATTTTTTATATCTTTTAATATATACACATTAGACATAATCTTAGCATAGTTATATAGCAGGAAAAAATGTGTAGAAAAATCTTTGAAACACTTTATTATTTTTATGAATACTACTGATATTACTGTATTACTGATACTAGCATATTACTGGTACTATGCATAATACTGTATATACTATTGATACTATTATGTTATTAATACTAGCGTATTACTGATACTACTGATACTACTGATATTACTGATATTATTGTATTATTGATACTAGCATAATACTAGTATTACTGATATTTTTTTGTACATTTTTTATTTATAGTAAAAAAAAATCTCTAACAGTTAACCACTAAAAGTCAGTCAAAATTTCTCATGATTAGCACGTGATTTGCTATAAATAGCATTTATATATAATAAAAATTCAGTTTTAACTATATTAAAATTCTACTTCCTATTATGATAAGATGCATATAATCATATGGTATTACAAAAAAAATTATATTAGATAACAGCATGAGGAGATAATATATTTATTTTTACTTTCACTTTTCTTAACCATTCTTTTTTTAAAAGAATCTTGCTTTCAAAGGTTTGAAATTGTTGAAAGTTATACAATAGAAAATCTCTATATTCATAAGTGTGAACCTAATATATATATTATTAATGACTTTCTAATAAAAATTATAAAGTAAATAAATTTATAATATTAAAAAAAAAATTTACTAAAAAATATTCTCTTTCCTTATCCCTTCTTTACCACTTTCTAATATTCTTTATCACTTCTTTACTTTTTTACCACTTCCTTACTTTCCTTTACCCCTTCCTATTCTATCATCCTTATCTTTCAAATTTTAAAAAAATGAATAACTGTTAAAATAAACATGATAATGCATATTCTGAATTTTTTGAGATAAATAGTGATGATAAAGATTTCATAATGAAGTTCGATAATAATAGTTATTTGCAAGCATTAAGTTCTTTGGATAAAAAACAAGATGATTTTATCCTATAAAGTGATGCTGAAGAAGAGAATACAGATTTAAAACAAGAAGTGTGTTAAAAAAAAAGAACTTTCACAAATAATAGAAGCAGATTTCAATAAAAAATTAACATCTTATATATTAATAGACAATATCGATAGCAAGATTCAAACATGTGATGCAAAAAATTGCAATAAGAGGTTGCGTGAATTAACAGGTCTTTGACAAGTTAATAATGAAGTTATTAATCAAATTAATAATGATCTATTCAGATTGGGAGTATATATGTCTTACTTTAATTTTGACCAAAAAATGCATAATAAAAAATCTAAATCAAATAAAAGTATTAAGGAAAGTCACATTCAATATTGGCAATATTTATTTTATCATCATAATCATTATTATTTTACACAGGGACAAGTTGCAAGCAACATTCTTGAAATATTTTAGATTGAGTAATATTAACATCATGCATCAGGTAAATCAATTGTAAAGCATTAAAAGAATGTAATGATATATGTGAAATGGCTTCAGAAAATGTATATAGACCATAATTTATATGTGCTACATATTTTACACAAAATGGTAGACACCTTTATATCAAACCTGAAAAAGGGAAAAAAGCAGTGGATTGTAATAAACAACATATAGCTGATACTTCAGAACAACTTGAAACAATTGGTAAATGGTTAATTATAATGGGAAAATATGGTGAAAATAAAATTCAAAGTTTAATTTTATCTATAGTTGCACCTTTAATATTTCAAATATTGAAAGATATAAAATCTTCTCCTACATTTACCTTAAAATCAACTGTAGAAATATCAGATTTATCTATTCCTAGTTTGCTTCACCTTTGAATTGCTTTTCAACTAAAAAAAAATCAATAGCGATTCTATTTTGTTAGAGAAATTGAATAAATAATATTACAAAAATTTAGAAGAAATATTTGCTAATAAGCTTTGGAAATCCTGAAAAGAACTTGATACGTTTCATAAATTATTACAGAATCCACCAACCCTTAATGATTATGTAAATGCCTTTCAATATGGTCGAAAGGTTTTTTTTATAGTCTGTTAAATGTTATATACAAAAAAAATGATAATAGCAAATAAAAAATAATATCAAAGAAATAAACAAATTAAACATAAATTACTAAAATTATTTCCTTGTTTCTTTCAATTTTAATTTCTATAGCATTTCCTTCAATTCAAGTTTGGTTTTCTCAAGTAGTAACTAGTTTGACCAGAAAACTAAAATTGGCAATAGACCTAACAGAACTTCTTGCAGTTTTAAAAATTATATCTCATAGTAATGATCATAAACGTATATTAGAAAAGAAGAGAATGAATCAAGTTAATCTTACAGAAAGACTCAAACAAAATCCAAATATTTAGAACCTTACTGTTATAGACAATATAGATTTTAAACAGAAAACTTTTACTTATAGTAATATTTTTGACGTAACATAAGAAAAATCACATACAACACTTCAGATGGCTTTTCAAACTGAATTACCTAATCCAATTAATGAAATAAAAGATGACAAAAATGAATTAGTAACAAATCAAGTTTTTGAAATAAATGATGAAGTATACCAAATTTTGAATTGTTTTGATAAAATATTTGATGAATGCTTAGCTTTTTATTATTCAAATGGTAAACTTTAATATATGATAGATTTTGATGTATCTACAATACATGATAAAATTTTGGAAAAATTAGCTCATAGATATTTTGGTTACTCTTCACATGTGATAATTTTAGAAGCTGGTAGAATTTCAAATAATAATGAAGGGATTTATCAATCAGCAAAAATGTATAAAAGTGATTTTCTTTAGATTCTAATAATTATTTAAATATTGTTGCTGATGAATCTATTTACTGACGTTTAACAAATTTGTGATAAGAATGGCTAAATCTACTTAGACAGTAGCATACAAATAAAGATATAACATCAGCTCTTATTACAATATTTTCAAGTTATGGAATCTTTGATTTGTGTGTTGCAATAGGTGTCAAATTCTTAGATAAATTTAAAAGTGTAATAGATTATCGATTTACAGTGAAAACTATAAAGCTTATATGGGTTGCAGTAGGCATTACATTACGAATTTATTTAAAATCAAAAAATTTGTATAAGAATAATATATTGAATGAAAATTTTGAAGAATATCAAATACTTAAAGTTTGGTATTTGTTTTACCATTGGGCTAGACTTTTTCTTGCATATAAAGCTGAAATTTGAATTGAAAATTTTAATATTCAGAGGTATACTTTATCGGCATTTTGCTCCTCTTATTCCATTAGCTGAAAAATCAAATTATGCACAATTAATAGTACACTTTATTGGAATTCTTAAAAGATATCTAAAATTAGAAGAAAAACTACAATTGGTATCATCTTTTAAGATTTCAAAAGAAAAACGAGATCATTTTCTTGCATTTGATGAGGTATTGAAGATCTTTGATGTAAAATTCGTCAAACAAAATATAACTAGAAATGTTATAGATTCTGAAAATCTTAAGCTTCAGGTGAAAGCTGCACAAATGGAATATGAATAAATTGAAGTATTACTTAATGAATATTTAAATAATATCACAATATCTAATTATAATTAATCTGTAGATGCACAAAAAGATACTACATAGAATCTTGTAAATAAACTATTAGAAACTTTTAACGTATGTATAATAATTTCTTTTTTTATATAATTTATATTTTAATAATCATTATTTTTTTAAATAATATTTATTTTAATTATTAAGGCACGTTATTATGATATATTTAATCAAGTTAATGATCTTTTTCATACAACTTATTCTAAAGAGATGCATGTAGAAAGAATTAAACGATTAAAAGAATATTATGGACAAGATTTGCATCATATAAAACTAATATATAATCAGGAAGTATTAAAAACAGAAATAATTAATACTGTTAGACGGAGAGCAAAAGAAATAGTGGTAACAAAATATAAAGATATCCAGATAGAAAAAAGGAATAAAGGAAAAGGGCAGTTAAAGATACTAATAGTATTGAAATATTAAATCTATAATAAGAATCTCTATTAACTGATAAAAGTAAAGTATCTTCTAAAAAACAAATATATCGAATGTCATCAAAAGAAGCAATTCAAATTCTTTTACCAATGGTCAAATATCCTAACCCACCTATAGATAAAGGAATACAAAATTATTTGGATGTTTTAGCAGAAAATATACCATCTTCTAATATTTGGGATAAACATTGAATTATTCAACATTATAGAAATCAGCATAAGAAAGGTATTACTAATAGGGAAGAAAAAGAATAAAATAGTAAACAATTAAATAGCAATTAATAAAACTTTTATTTGAAAATAATTATATTTTAATTTTTTTTTTACTAATAATTAATCAGGCTGTAAAATGAAATTCTACTCATATTTTCACTTGTAATAAATAAATATTTTTGTTTTTATTTTTTTTTTATAACTAAAGTTTGCACTACATCACTAGGTATTTATAAAATTTTAACAATTGATAAAAAAGAAGAATTCTTCTCAAATATACCAAATTTAATACTTACTTTATAAGCTTATAATTTGTTTGTTAACAACTCAAAATACAAAAAAATACTGCTAATATTATAATTTGAAGCTTGAAGAATAGAATTATTAAGTATTATATTCATTTGTAAATTATATGTTAAATAGTTAAAAAAAGAAGTTATGTGAAATAAGATTACACAACATTTACAATTAAGGATTAGCAGTTAATAAGACATCTTGACTGACTGCTAATATGATTATACCTTCGCTTAAAACACATATTAATTCAGGGCTAGTTACTTGTCTCTTGTAGATTATAAAGACATCATGTAATACTGAGATATAAAGCCTAAACCTTTAGCTCAGCTAAGTAAAAAATATAAAATATTAAATAGTCATTTATATCAAATTTGGAGAGGACAAGAGTTTAATAGAATTTAATAAAATAATGTAGTAATTCTCTAAGTATAAATATTATAAATAAACAAAATGAAGCTGATTTTTAAAATAAATATGATTTTATGATCACAGCATTGGAAAATATAATGCATGATATTGAGATTGAGCCTAATAAATCTACTGATACAACTTCAGAAGGAGATTCTATTTTAAGTAGTAAGGTGAGAAAGACTGGAGAAAAAAAATTGAAGTCTAAATCTATGTTAGCTTTGTTATTACCATCTAGTATTCAGACTTAGCCAAACTTGATTTTGAAAAATGATGCAAAATAATGAAAAAATGGATCTATTATTTGAGAAAATGATCAAAAAATCCACAAAAATTTTAGATAAGAAAAAGAAGTGTTATCCTAAAAATAACTTACCTATTCTCTAAAAAGACTATTATAAAACTTATTGATTTTTGCATTGAACTTAAGAGTAATAGAAAGCTTCTTTTCAAGTTCTTTTATATGAATTATCATACTTTCAGTCAGAGGTGTTAAAGCATAACTCATGTTTTTTTTAATGTGCTATTTTTACTTAAATCCTGTGAAATTTTCTCTAGAGCTGAGAAATTATCATATTCAGGAGTAATATTTGCGCAATTCACCTCAAGCTTATTTTTGACCTTATGCATATTAATTAGAATAAAAAATTTCTTATTATTACACTCTAGTCTCAATTTATGCTTTGATGCAAGTAAATCATAATTATATTTATTGAGAAGTGTATTAAGTAAGATCAGCATTAGCTTAGGATACTTAATTACAGTAAAACTATGGTGGCTGTCACCTATAAACCTCACAAAAATCATATGACTTTAAAAATTTATAAATTAAAAATAAAACAATG